AAAAACAAAAGTGTTGCGTTCATAATTTTGTTCAGTGTAGAATATTACTTGAGTAAAAGTCTTAAAGGGATGATCTGCTTGGAGGCTTCTGAGATCAGAACCACGTCTGGCCTTAGCCATGTTATGGCAACAGTTTCTGGGAACTTCAGAGGTGGTCCTGACAGATTCTCCCAGCCTAGACAAAAGTTGTGGTCTTCTTCACTGGTTGTAGGCGCCTACAGTGGCTGATCCCGCTGGAGATAGTATCTGCGATGGCCTTCTGGACTGTTTCATGATGTCAGCAATAACGCCCCTCACTCAGGGCTCTTTGACAGCTGCTGAGGATGTAGTCTAGAGTCACTTTCATCAGGCACAGCAGTGAAGCTAGTGACTCTGCCTTTTCCCCAGGAGAAACAAGTTGGATGGACTTGGTAGTACATCGTAGACAGCCTGGATTAGGAATTTTATTCAGTGGGGCTCGGATTTCCATGTGACTTTGTGCTATACTACTTGTTCCCACCTTGTCCAGGCTCCCTGCTGCTGCATCCCAATCAAATTTAGCGGGAATGGTCGGGAAGAAAATTATTCTAAGCGGACAGCGGTTAAACAAAGAGTGAATATATAGCGGGAGTGGGTGGGTGCGGAATATAACCTTACGGGAGCGGGACTAAAAAAATAGTCCTGCGCAGACCTCTAATCAGATGGATCAAATCCAGTGAGTACCATTTTCTCTTGCTATCCGTTTATATGTTTTTGTATTTAGCACATTTACTTTCGTTTTCGTCTTCTTCATGGGTTTTACTGGCGCGTTGTTAACAGATCCATACCGCCACCTACTGAAAGGAGCGTGGATATTCTGCTGTATATTCCAAAACGTTCTACATATTTCTATATATTTAACCCAATACATTTCAACTGTGCATTTATTATTTTCCCTGGTTCTGGACTATTATCTAAGATGCTGGATATTGTAAATGCCTGACAAATTGTTTCGGTTTCATTTATACTATTAATGCATGTTCTACAGGTTCTGCTTCTTGACATTAATCCATGATGCATAAACCTGTTTTATTGTTCTCCATGATGTATAACCTATCATTAATTAGAATGCCCCTTTCTCAGATGTGTGAGATCAGTTCTTTTATGTTGATGTTGATTGAGGTTAACAGGTCTTGGCAGTTTTGCAAATGGAATTATAAATGCATTGCCTCCCTAACCTCTATGCATATCTTAATACACAAATATGCACTGCACATTTAAACTGCATATTCATCTGGATGTTTAAACATTTGATCTTTTTGAGGCCCAACACAAATGAATATTAACTAGTTTTTGCTTACAGCTGATGGTCATAAACATACTTCACATGGTGTGATGAACTCTATGGTGATCTTGAGAAACTGCAGATACAATTTTCATTCCATCAGTAGACTGATGCAGTTTGAGGTGCTGCATTATATCCTAGATCAATAAAACTAATAATTTGACATTTGATTTCCTTATGCTAATGTTCAAGATTATTATGTGGCGTTCCTGCATTTTTGCTGTCAGACAGTTGTCAAGGTCTTCAGTGACAAAAATACGCGAAACACAATTTAGTCTTTAGTTCAAACTTGTATTAAAGCTCATAAAACAATATCAAGTACAACTGACCTGAGATAAAATCATATAATGTCTCTGTTTACAGCAAACACATCTTTTGTCTCACATTAGAAAATGTAGCTTACATGATTTTGATACATTATATACCAAATATTAAAAATATGTAAATGTAAAAAATATATCTGACTGCTGAATTTGATAATTAGAATTATGATTAGCATTAATCCCAAAAGCATTATGATTGTAGGCTTTATACTGAAGACCCAGAATCCTCTCTGTTCTGACCATTGACTCTATTCCCTTCACTGCTCCACCTGTTAATAAAGCAAAATAATAATTTATATCAACCCTAAACCAACAATAACCATCAAATATCACTCCTGCACATGGATGTTCCTAATAATGTAGCATTATTAATTTTAAAGTGCATGTGTGTATTTCCTTCATTAAAATTACTAACAGCTGCAGTTTTGTGCAAATGTGTGCATATAAGAAAAATATAAAAATCTCTGTTCTGACACAGTGCTATAAGTTAAAGCTTTAAAACTGCTACAAGCATTGATTTCATTTTTTATTTATTTTTGTTGTGCTGATATTCTCATTTAAGAAAAGAGTTCATGTTTGAATATTTAATGAACGTAATAGATTCTGGGTACAGACGTCACATCATCACACATATTCATTTATGCTCAAACTATAATGAGGCTCTTCTGAGGATCCTCACCTGATAATGAAGCTCCTTTTCATTTCACAGGTTTCTAAGATTTAGACCAGGATGTAAACTGCATACCAGTGTGCTTTGTAGCAGCTCTAAACAAAGGCTGTTCACGGTCTAGTCTGTAAGGAGAAATCAGAAGAGAAAATAATCAGTGTTGGCTGTGAAGAATTGCAAATTAGTTACTATATTTCAATTTAACAAGTAAAATGAAGTGTCACATTAAATTAAGATTCTTAAAGTTAGTTACTTGATTAGTTACACACACATATATCTAAAACAATATTTGGGTTTTAAATATAATCCATTTAAAACATGAATTATATTCAAATGTTGTTATGACTGCAGAAGAGTCTATGACTCCTATTGAGTCGCTGTAAAGAGAAACACATGCTGATGAGTTTATGGTTTATGTGATTGATGACAAAAAGCAAATACAAATGATATACTTAATTCAAATTAAAACCTCTGAGTGAAACTTTCACTAGTTTGTCCCCTAGTTTAAACATTGCTTTTATTGGTCTTTGTAAATAATGTTAAATAATGTGAATAATATTTCTTGTCCAAAGTAAAAATGTATAATAAAAATTAAAGTTTTGAATGTCAGATTTGTTCTGACACAAACTCTTCCAATAAAGCTTAATACAAATTTATTTTGACATATTTTTGAAAGATGTCCCATGTATTAAAGCTATATGAAGCTCTCTTTAATACCACAAAGAGATATTTACTCACCTCAGTTTACAGTTTGAGTCTCGTAGCACATCAATGAGCTGCTGCTTTGAGTCTCCAATCATATTGTTTCTCAGATCAAGCTCTTTTAGAAACTGCAGTGCTTTTGTGTTTGTCAAAGCCTGAGTTAAAGCAGAAACGTCTGTAATGCCACAGAAATTTAGACTAAAAAAAGACAAACAGAAAGACAGAATCATAAAAAAATCATAATTAATAATTGTAAACAAACAATAGATGAACTTATATGAATCTGATTTAAACTATGTGCTTTTAAGAATTATGATATTCCTCACCTCAGTCTCTCCAGTTTACAGTGTGAATCCTTCAGTACGTCACATAAGTGACTCATTCCTGTGTTTTTTATTTGATTCTCACTCAGGTCCAGTTCTCTCAGGTGTGATGGGTTTGATTTCAGAGCTGAAGTCAGGATGAGACACTGTTCATGTGTAATACTGCATCCACACAAACTGAAGACAGAAAAAGAAAATACAATGGTTCAGATCCATGTTAAGCTCGTGTGAGTTAAATGCATCATGTTACATTATTTTAGTTGTGTCATTTTAGTTGTGTCTTCTTTCACAGCAAATTTGTCAGATTTCAGCACATGAAACCATTTTATAGCCACAAAGTATCAAATGCTTCAGAGTTTAATGTTCTTTATGCTGACACACATACTGAACAATCAGTAACTAATTAGCTAATATAAATTTTCAGTCTTTCTTTAGATGAGGAAATGCCAGAAGATGTAGTGATATAAATGATGTGACATGAGTCTGTTTTCTTAAAATAAATGAACAGTAAACCTTAACCACACCGTAACTGTTGTACAGTATAATAATACTAACTCTAGTATTTCCAGCTTGCATTGTGGGTTCATCAGTAGATCACTGAGGTTTTTCACTCCAGCATCTCCTAGTTCATTCATTCTCAGGTCCAGCTCTCTCAGGTGTGATGGGTTTGATTTCAGAGCCGAAGTCACAGCAGAACAACCTTCATCTGTCATATCACAGCCTTTTAACCTACATTAAGAGAAATGAGAAAAATCACACTTCATTCCGTTTCATTTAAATAACAAAACATTTTTTTCTTGTATGTGAATATTCTTCACCTCAATCTCTCCAGATTACAGTGTGAATCCTTCAGTACGTCACATAAGTGATTCACTCCTGTGTTCTTTATTTGATTCCAGCTCAGGTTCAGTTCTCTCAGGTGTGATGGGTTTGATTTCAGAGCTGAAGTCAGGATGAGACACTGTTTCTCTGTAATACTGCATTCACACAGACTGAGGATAAAAAGAGAAAAGGCAATGAAACAAACACATGTTAAGTTCACGTGTGAGTTAAATTCATGAGTAAATACCATACAGTACAATTATATATTAAAAAAAAAATTTACACAGTGTGCACAATGTACACAGATAAAATCTATATATAATAAGCACTGCAATATTCCATTAAATAAGAATTGTCCATTTTGATTTCATGGTGACTTTAAGAAACTAAACAGTTAATCACACTGTAACTGCTGTACAGTATAATGATACTAACTGTAGTTTCTCCAGCTTGAATTGTGGGTTCATCAGTAGATCGCTGAGGTTTTTCACTCCAGAGTCTCCTAGTTTATTCCCGCTCAGGTTCAGCTCTCTCAGGTGTGATGGGTTTGATTTTAGAGCTTTTTTTAGAGAAGTCACAACAGAACAACCTTCATCTGTCATATAACAGCAGCTTAACCTACATTAGAAAGAGAGTATAAAAAGATAGAAGAAAACTATTTATTTAGTAAAGTCACAAAATAAATAAATAATTAAAAAAAACAGACAGAGGAAGAGGGTCTGAGTGCCTTTGGATAATTTGTTTCCATGTTTTTACTGTACCTTTAAAACAGAAAAACAAATAAACCGTTCGTTTATCACATATTTGACACTTCTTTCTTCTGTGTAGGTGTTGGTTCTGATCTCTGATCTCATGCATCAAGATCAAAAAAGCTTTTCACCCATTAAAAAAGCAACGGTGATACAGGGTCATAACCAGAGCTGCTGCCATCATTCTGATGGTGGGGCGTCACATTATTAGGCCTGCACTACTTTATTATACAATATTTGATCTTTTTCCTTTAACATACATCACTAAGTGATGCTCCAGGACACATCAGGTGTTTTCAAGTCTTTCAACAACCATACACCCTTGCCCAGATGACCTAGCCAGGGTTGACTATCTCCTGATCCACAACCACCATGCAGAAACCTCTGTTGCCTTTGTGGCTGACTTAATACCCCGTTGCCTGCTGGGCCCTCTGATGCCCAGCATGTCATACACTCTGCAGAGAGACTTAGCTGTAAAACCCTCTGCAACCTACCTTAATTGGCTTGTACCTTGCGACAAGCCATTGCTCCGGCACTCTTCTACCAGCTCGGTACACTTGGTTCTCTTCCTCTCATTGGTCTCCTCGATATAATCCTTCCAGGGAACTGTGAGTTCTAAAAGGATGATCTGCTTGGAGGCTTTTAAGATCAGAACCATGTCTTGCCTTAGCCATGCTTTCCCTGGTCGACTTTCAGCTCTCAGTCCTGTGCTGTTGAAAGCAGATCAAAGGAGGTGGTCCTGTAGCTGGTGTTACCTTCTCCCCAGCCTTGACAAAAGTTATGGTCTTCTTCACTGGAGGTAGGCACTTGCAGTGAGTGATCTCGCTGGAGATGGTATCGGCAATGGCCTTCTGGATTTCTTCATGATGTCAGCGATAACACCCCTCACTCAGTACTCTTTGACAGCTACTGAGGATTTGGTCCAGAGTCCCTCTCATCAGGCACAGAGGGCAAGCTGGTGACTCTGCCTTCCCCCAGTAGAACAAGTTGGGCTTGGTAGTACATTGTAGACAACCTGGATTAGGAATTTCATTCAGTGGGGCTCGGATTTCAAGAGCCCAGCCCAAGTGACTTTGCACTCCACCATTTGTTTCCACCTTGTCCAGGCTTCCTGCTGCTGCATCTCAACCATCCTGCTGGCTCTCACTTCCTTGAGCGATGCTCGTACCTCATTTTGGAGCTGCGACCTCCTCCTTGCCTTGCCATGTTACATAACATGTTACTACCCAGGCCTGTTCTTCCTTGAGCCACTGTGCCCACCAACACCTTTTGCTCCAGACTTGATTCAGCAACATGCCCTGACCTCAATCACTGCTTGAGAGATTTTTGGGTCACATGACTCGTGGTACTGCAACTGACCTCCCATAGTGTGGGTCACCAGGAACTCCCCTTCTGATGGGGCGTTTCAGCTTGTTTTTTTTTACCCATATAAGCTGATGTTGCTCAAACTTTGGGGTAGTCCTAGTAAGGAAGGACTTCCTAATCCTAGGAAGAATGCTATGTTTGTATATCTCAGCCTTAAACTTACCAGGTAGGCCTGATTTGTCCACTGCAACTAGCCAAGCTTCTAGCTCTTGCTAGATATAAAACATCTTAATGAATGAATGAATGATGCATTTATATAGCACTTTATTGTGTATTGCTGTACACCCAAAGCACTTTACAATCATGAGGGGGGGTCTCTCCTCAACCACCACCAGTGTGCAGCATCCACCTGGATGATGCGACGGCAGCCACAGCACAACGGTGCCAGTGTGCTCACCACACATCAGCTACAGGTGGAGAGGAGAGAGTCATAAAGCCAATTCAATGAATGGGGATTATTAGGAGGCCATGACTGACACGGGCCAGTGGAGGGAATTTGGCCAGGACACCGGGGTTACACCCCTACTCTTTACGAGAAGTGCCATGGGATTTTTAATGACCACAGAGAGTCAGGACCTCGGTTTAACATCTCATCCGAAAGAATCTTAAATACAACATGATTCACAAACAGCTACATGTTTTCCTGTATTTCAAGTGACCTTTACTTCTATAGTGCATTGTATAATATAGATTGTGTCAAAGCAGCTTCATAAACATAAAAACAAACATAAAAAACATAAGTCAAATAGGTGATAAATGATTGCTCTTTTTTTCATTTTAAACACAAAAGCAAAAAAAGTGATCTTAGGCATTTTGATTCTTGCATGTGAATGTTCCTCACCTCAATCTCTCCAGATTACAGTGTGAATCCTTCAGTACGTCACATAAGTGATTCACTCCTGTGTTTTCTATTTTATTCCCACTCAGGTCCAGCTCTCTCAGGTGTGATGGGTTTGATTTCAGAGCTGAAGTCAGGATGAGACACTGTTTCTCTGTAATACTGCAATTCCACAGACTGAGGACAAGAAGTGAAAGAAAATGGGTCAGATCTATGATGATCATTTAAGGTTCTGGAGAATTTTTTTGTCATGTCTGACAGAAATTTGTCATTTGAAACTGACAACTCAGAAATGACCACTATCTAGCATGAAAAAGATTAATAAATGCTCTAAAAAATATATTGCTCATTGTTAGTTTAATTAATACATTAATGTTAATAAATGAGTTATGATTATGACTGTGTACATAAAGCTTCATCAGTGAAGAAAAACTGGGTGAAATGTGAAAGTGAACGACAGGAACCAAACACTACAAAGGACTGTGCCCAAACAACACAAAACTACCGCAGCATTGTGACAGCAAACCTCAAATATAAAAAATTCACCTTACAGACCCTGTTTCCATAAAAAGCAACCACAAAGGACTTCGCAAATCCATGAAAGAGCTGCAACTGCCACAACTTTAAGCAGACACCAGTGCTAAAATGTGAAAAAGATGGAGTCATTATCATAAATCTGGACATTCGGAGCACCAAGATGAACTTCAACATTTGCCCTCACCAGAAAAATCACCTGACCTGAATATTATCAAACCACTGTGGACAGTTTTGGAGTGAAGCATGAGAGACTGATTCCCTCTGTATCTGAAGCAACTGGCAGATGTTTTTATAGACAACCTTCAACTCAATACTAATCAAAAGTTGCATGAATTAATTCTAAGAAAGTTGGTGTCAAACCGGAGAACAGACAACAGGATGAGTGATTCTGATCCATTATTGAAGTGAAATTCACCAACCGACAACACATGAATGTAAGGCACTGTAAGAAATTCAGACAGGGTACTTAGGTTCCCTTTTGATACTTCACTCGTACTGCGTCGCTAGACGCTTATGGGGAAAACTCTCTTTTCTCAGAGGACTGAAGCCTTTACAATCATGCAGTGTAACTGCACGGCCATTGACTTGTGCAGTAAATAAAAAACGAACCAATGACTCGTCAGCGGAGCTGCACAAGCCTATGGCGTCGAAGCCCACCAGAGCCCGCCAGAATGGACGGGGCCATCTAGCTATATAAGCGGGCATTTCGCGATAGGATCTCAGATCAATTCTCCTTCAGTGACGACGATATTTCCTTCGTTGATCTACGGGACTTGAAGCGCTCGCCGTTGACACGCCTCGCTGCGGACAGAAGCTGCCTTTCCTCTGCGCCTCTCTGCTGTTCACGCCTGCTCTACGAGCCGCATTCAGCGTTCAACGCAGATGTCAACTCGTCCCCTGCCGCCATCCGGCGAGTCTAAAAAGCTAATTTTCGACTAAAAGAGCAGCGGCGTTGTTTCAAATGCCGCGCCGTCATTGCGGCTCGTGCAGGATTGCACTACACGCTGACGACGGCCACTCAGAGTGTGTTTCCTGTCTGGGCAAGCCCCACGCAGAAGCCGCTCTGACCGAGATGGAGTGTTCACACTGCGTGAACATGAGTTTCGCTTCACTGCACGCTCGCTTTCTTTTCAGAGAGGGACTCCGCCCTTCACACCGTCCCGTTTTCTTCCTCCCAGAGACCTGTGAGGAAAAACAGCGGGGCAAGGGGACTGAGCGCTCGGCTAGAAGCGAGCTCACGCCGGCCCAGATCCCGCGTGCCTCGCTCTCGCCGAGCAGATAGGATCCTCCTGTCATCTTTGAACACTCAGACCAGCATCCCTCGGTTAACTTTTCCATGTCCTCTCTAAAGTGGTCTAAGAGCTGGGATTGGAGTGGTCTACCCCGGAGGAGCCCACTTGTAGCCGTCTAGAGGAATGGTTCCTGCCGGAGCGCTGCCAGGCCCCTCGTCAACGAGCCTCCCCATTTTTCCAGGAAGTCCACGACGAGCTCACGAAATCGTGGTGCGCTCCCTACTTGGCTCGCCTTCGCACATCCTCTTCTTCTGCGTTCTCCTCAGTGGATGGCGCTGAGGGAAGGGGCTACGAAAAACTACCTCCTCTCGATGAGACAGTGGCTGCACACCTCTGCCCACCCCCTGCCATTGGATGGAAAGCGAAGGTCGCTCACCCCTCCAAGCACTGTAGTCCTCCAAGTCATGGACGAGTCCGGACCCGACCCTGCAGCCTTCAAGGAGCTGCGCAGTGCAACAGACCTGGCTTTGCGAGCTACGAAGGCTACAGCACAGGCCATCGGGAGGTCAATGGCCAGCTTAGTGGTGTTGGAGCGCCACTTATGGCTAAATCTCACTAAGATTTAGGGGGCTGACAAAGTTCCCTTCCTCGACTCTCCGATCTCCACTACGGGGCTGTTTGGACCTGCTGTCGAGGGATTTGCAGAGCGTTTTACAGCAGCACAGAAGTCGTCCCAGGCAATGCCGCACTTCCTGCCTAAGTGCTCCAGCTCTGCAACGGCCACCAGTCGCCCCAGACCTACACCAGCACAGCAGCCAGTGAAACCTGCGCCGCCGCCTGCTCAGCCTACTCAAAAGCCTGAGCCCCGACAGCGCTCCCGCTCGGCCAGACGCCACCCATTTCCGAAGCGCCAAGGACCACGGCCCAAGCTGACGTTGGATCCTGCGCCTCAGGCGTCGCCCTGATCTGCTGGACAGGAAGAGGAGGGGGCAAAGTCTCACCAGCGCTGGACCACCTCCAAAATGCCCTCTATTGGGCCCTCAAGCACCCCGTACGGTTCCGGGTGCCGGTGGCAGTATGTTTGTTCTAGAAACTGTAGTGAATACTGGGCCCGTTCCAAAAGTGCCCTCACAAACAGCCGCTGTTATAGCGAGAGAAATAAAAAACAAACATTTTCAAAAAGAGAGAAAATTTGCTTATGTTATAGCGAGAAAAATAAAATTTTCAAAAAGAGAGCAAATTTCCTCTTCCAGTTATCACAAGTGTCAAGTCCCCGCATGGCGACTCACCACCCGAACTAAACCAACCCCTCGCCACATGGGCTGAGGCATGGCAGGCCATCCCCGGAGTGTCAGACTGGGTTCTGGGGATTATAAAACGAGGTTACTCACTCCAGTTCGCTCGAAAACCCCCGCAGTTCCACGGTATGGTCTCCACCTCAGTGCAGAGCAAGGACGCTCACATCTTGCCATCCGAGGTGAAGAATTTACTGGCAAAAGGAGCTGTAGAGACGGTTCCGCCAGCTCAGAGCGAGTCAGGTTTCTACAGCTGTTACTTCCTCGTCCCCAAAAAGGATGGCGGCCTCCGGCCCATCCTCGATCTCAGACACCTGAACCGTGCCCTCATGAAACGGCTGTTCAGAATGACTACCCTGAAGCAGATCCTCTCACAAATACGCCCAGGGGACTGGTTCTTCTCTCTGGATCTGAAAGAGGCTTACTTTCACATCCAGGTAGCCCCCCCATCACAGACAATTCTTGAGATTCGCCTTCAAGGGAGTGGCATATCAGTACACGGTCCTGCCCTTCGGACTGTCTCTGGCTCACCGCACTTTTACGAAGTGCATGGACTAGTGCTGTGTTCAAAATATCGATACGACGATATATCGTCACAGAGATTTGACGATACGAGTATCGATACAGCTGGCCCTGTATGGATATGGTGGCACGTGTGCAGCAGTGGACCGCGTTTAATTTGTTTAAAATTTTACAACATTTAAAATTTAAAAGTGCTGAGGTTTCTAAAAAAGAATGAATAGAGCATATATAGGCTACAACAAGGTTTAATCTGGCCGCAGAGGAACACAACTGGGGTTGCCTGATATAAAGAGACGTAGAGTATCGATCCTGTATGGATATGGTGGCACGTGTGCAGCAGTGGACCGCGTTTAATTTGTTTAAAATT